GGCCCAGGCGGGGTTGAATTCGAGGTTAACCGAGAGCATTTTGAGACCGACGACGAATCGTGATTGCTTTTTTTATTTCCATTGTTTCTTCTGTATATCGTTGTGTGGATTATCACCTTCGGGGCGCTTTTAATAGGCAAATATGAGTGTGCGATTCGCCGCTGTCGTTGTTTGCTTTCATTGAATTTTGTTCCCACCAGAATATTGTCTCCTGCGTCTTGGGGATGCCCAAAGCCCCCCATGCCCCCTGGGGCCCGTCCACGGCGGGATGTCTCTGGTGGGTATTTCCAGAGCCCACCAGGGCCCGTCCTCGCCGCGCGGCGGAAGATGTACCTTTGGCAGAGGGGCGCAGGCTAAGCGGGGCACCGATCCCGACCCCGAGCCCCTGGTGAAACGGTTGCACGGTTGCCGGGGACGCAACTCAGGGGGAACAGGGGCAACGGCCGCGGGGATCGCGCAGTCGCTGCGAGGCGGAGGGCGAATACTCGGCAGATGGCGCAAGGGCGCGTCTCGGGGCAACCCCGGAACCGCCGCGCGGCGGTGGGCATATCTTGGGCAGATGAGTCGCCACTGACAGGCGGCCACCCCTCTCGACCCCGACCCCGCCGCCGCTACGAGGCCACGGCTCCCCTGGGAGGCAGCTAGAGGCAGCCAAAGGAAACCTCAATTCGATATACCCCTCACGCACGTCATGTCTCGGGCCCTCAACTGACCCCTCGGATGGCCTAAAACCACCCTCACCCAAGGTCATCAGCTAAACCCCAAGACCGCTCAACCCCCAAGGGATGATTGGTACCAAGCCCCTTCGAAGCCGCACCCCCGAACACCAACTGAATCCAAAATCTGCGTGCGAGTTTTCCCTGCGGAGACCCGCCATGATTCCCGCTCTGCGGGCTCAATAAATTCAAATAAATGCCACAAGGAACAAGTAAATACACTTAAATGCGGAAGTCGCTCGCCACAGAAATGCTACTACAGCAAATTAAACATATGCGAAGGCAAAGACCCAACTCGGGGCAACCCCGGAAACGTCGCGCCTTGACCCTCAGCCGAGGCCCCGCTGACAGAAGGGCCCGCGCCATTACATCAGACGAGCAAAATCCGCCACTGTGCCTCGAGACACGAGTTCGGGGCTCCTCGATTGCTCCTTGACGGCCCCAGCGGCCCCCATGAGCGCCCGAAGATGACCAAAACAACAAAACAACCGATATTGCTCCAACGGGGCCCCAGGGCACCCCCAAAACGGCCCCATTGCGGCACCCGGAATGTCCCGAGAAGATCCGGGACCCCCAAGACATCCGAAGAGTCCCCCACGGCCCCCGGTGACACACCGCGAGCCCCAGCGGCCCCCATGAGCGCCCGAAGACGGCTCCAAATGGATGAGTGTATATATATATATATACATATAACAAACGGAGCCCCAACGGAGCCCCAGGGCAACCACAAAACGGCCCCATTGCGCCACCCAGGATGCCCCGCGAAGATCTTGGACGCCCAACACATCCGAAGAGTCCCCCACGGCCCCCCGTGACACACCGTGACGCCCCTGCAGGAAGTCTCGCGCCCGCGACCCAGGCCGGCCAGGGGGCAGATTGGGCCGAAGGCTCTCGGGGATCCGCTTGGTCAGAGTGCTCTTACCGCAGCGGCGCGCCGATTCGACGCCCTGGGAAATGAACGCGTCGAGGAAGTGGAACGTGAAACACCGCATATCCCTGAAAGCTGCCGCAGGCACGCGAATCTTCTCACTTTTCTCGGCCGAGATGAACTTCCTGAAGAGGAAATCGGACAGCTCGTCGCAACCAACCCAGTCGACCGGCGCATCGCCGTCGTAAACACTCCCCGCGAGCTTCGCAAGGTCATCCAGGACGTCGGCAAGCCTGCGCTTCCGCTTGCTGGCCACGAACGTCTTCGTCTGGATAGAGGCTGACATCCGGACGGCCAGCGCAGTCACGGACATCTTCTTCACGCGGTCTTTATTCGCCCACTCGGCCACAGCGAAAGCGTCGCTCACCAGAGCGCGCAGGACGTACTCGAGGTGCTCGTGGACGGCACCCACGGCCTCATCGGTGATTTTCAGCGGCGCGCCTTCTGCGTGGCCGGACCTCTTCGCCGACAACAGCGGCAGCAGGGCGCGGATGATCCGCGCCACTTTGGCGCGCGGGATCAGGAGTGGGGCGTCCGCCAACGGGTTCTCCTCCGTCTCCGCCTCCTCCGCCGCCGGCTCGGCGGGCAGGGCCGCCGACGCCGCGTCATCGACCGCCGCCTGGCGGTACCAGCGGATTAGGTGGTAGACAAGTGCAGGCTTCTTCTCCCGGATCACGTCCCGGTGCAACATGGCAGCCTGGCCGATTTGTCTCAGCGCCCCGATTGACATTGTGAGCAGCGTCGCGTGCATGCCCCGGAAGTCCACGACGCGGTCGAACAGCTTCTGCTTGTCGCCCAGTGCTGCCTCCACCACCTCGTTCCAGACGAGGCCTCCGCGCCGCGACAGGAAGGAGCTCGCCAGCCTCCACTTCGCCTGCTCTTCTTCCGCGCCGATGCCCTGGCCGACGAGCACGCGGCCCTGCCCCTGGAAGGTAGCGATATGGGAGGAGGGAACGACGATTTTGGAGCCCACTTGGGGGAACCACTTGGGCCCGCTTGGGGGAACCCCCGCCCGCGGACGAGGCCAGCGATTTTCCAGCCATGCCGCATGAAGAAACCCAAAATCCCGTCTACCCTCTGGGCGCAGGTGGCCCAACCGCCCTCCCGCCCCCCGGTCCTCCGCGTCGTCCTGGGCGCCCGCGCGCTCGGGGGAAACCGCGCGCAGCACCGTGCCCCCTTGCGCGCCCTCCACCTCGCGCCGCCATTCGGTGCGGTTCTCTACGATGCCACCGAGGTGCAACACCAGCACTTCCGTGCACCCGCCGAACAGCCGGCCCCACTCCTCCGCACCTCGGTCGGGCAAGCACACGTCGGCCAAGTCGGCCACCTTGATCACCTCCTTGTTGACGATCTCGAACACCGCCTCCGGCCTGAACTTCTCGCGGCCGGCCCTCATCCTCACGCGGGTGACGTGCCAGTCCCGCCCACCCTGGAGGAACCGACGTCGCCAATAATCGGTCTTCAACCCGCGGTACTCCTTAGTCTTGATGCCCTTCACTGCCATCTCCAAATACTGCGAATCTACTATCATATGCTGCGTCATTGCCCTCGCGGGCAGCCCCGCGGGCGGGCCGTCAGCAACTGGGGGGGGAATTGGGCTCGGGGCATCCCCGGCACCGTCTCCCCCCCGAACCACCCTGGGCGCCAGGGCAGGCGCGCCACGGCCGTCGGCAGCGCCAGGTTGACCGTCGGCGCCCAAGACTGAGACGAGCTCCTTGCCCGAAGTGCTCCGCAACGTCACCCAGCCGACTTTGTCTCCGATCCTCACGTGCACCCGCATCACCGGGCCCTCCATCCGAGGCACGGCGAGGCCCTCGAGACGGTCCCCCACTTGGAGGCGCTTCGCGACTTCCGAGGAGAGGTCTGGGGATTCGGACAGAATGGTAGCGACCACGCACTGCCATACCGTCTTTTCGCCACTCTCCCCCGCAACGTCGCCCTCGTCGGACGCCTGGGCCACGCCTCCCGCGCCCGCGGCACCAGCGCAGGCGGCGCCCTCGAGGGGCCTGGCCGCGCTGGCGGCGGCAGCGCCGACGCCCTGCTCCGCAGCGCCCCCTGCGCCCGCGGCGCCCTCGGTGCAACCGCCCGTGGCGGCACCGGCCTTTCTCTCCTCCGCGAGCGCCAACCCTTCCGGCACATCTTGCCTGCACGCAGGGCAAATCAGGCCGAGCGCGCCCACCTTGGACCAACTTGAAACGAGGCAGTCGGAGCAGAACGAATGCCTGCAAGGTAGGTGGCGGCACGGGACATCCTCCATGCAAATCCTACAATTCGCGGGCGCCGGATCGCCGGGGTGTCCGCCCTTGCACCGCTCGAGCACGCTGTTGATATAGTCCATATCCCGGGCGCTGCGGGACACGCTCGCGTCCAGTCCGGACAGCAATTCGTAATCCTCAGGGACGATACGCCGATACTGCAGATCCTCGACGGCCTTCTTGTCATGATCTGAGAGCACCTCCATTAGCAGCTCGCAGTGGGCTGGGTAGCGTTGTCGAGTGCGGCACGCGCTTGCTAGGGCGCCCTGCGCTGCCCTTCGAGACATGATGACTGCGGACATGACGACAGCGGAGCTGGAAGCGGAACAAAAGCAAGAGGAGGAGCAGGAATAGGAATAGGAGTCAACCAAGACGACTCGATCGTGCCACCAGGCTGGCCCCCCCAAGGCCCCGGGCCCTCGGGGGTGCACATGGCGCGCACCTGAAAGCGGCCACCCCCCTCACCCCGGACCCTCCGCCGCAACATCGAGGGGCCGCCCCCCTCTACCCCGAGCCCCCCGCCGACGTGTTGGATGGCGACGGCGGAGATCATGCGCCGACGACGGGGCGGCGACGATGATGGTGACATTGATAGCCGACGCCGCTGGCGACCGCCTCTGTTCCCTCCCATGGCAAGGGCAATCCGCGCCACTCTTTCCCCCAGGTACAACACGGTGTCCTCACCCCAAAAGCCGCCCCAGGAGAGCGCGATGCACGCACTTAAGCGCGGCATGCTTTAAACGCGGGTGACAGCAGAAAATGCAACTTCGCGTGCCCCGATCGCACGAAGCAGCACGGCTGATGCGTCGTTGGAGGGGAGGAAGCGAGGGAACTTCAATGAGTCGAGGAGGGGAGAAGTAGATTAGCAAGAGCCGCCGAAGCCGATTTCAGGGCAGACCAGATGATGCCCGCAGCTTAGCTGAGGTCACTGAAAGACTGGGCCGACACAGCCGATCGCGGGGCAACCCCGGCCACCGACCTATACGCTCTTTGCAAGCCGGTGTCCCCAATCACCAGCGCGACGAGAATGCAGTCTGCGCTGGGAGAGAAGCGTAGCAGTCACCTGACGACCCCTCTCGGCGCGCGAATTTGCCGCCCCCATCACTCGAATTCGCTCGTGCTCACCCGCAGGCGCTTCCGTTCCTCCGTGGCATCTGCGTCCGCAACGATCTCCTCGAGCTTCCGCTTCTTGAACATGCCCTTGCCCTTGGGGTTGCCCTTGCGCTTGCCTCGTGGGCTCGCTGAACGACCATCGAAAGCCCGGGCACTCCGGTCTGAATGAGACCTGGATTTCCCACTGCGAAACCAAAAGAATCTCGGGGGCAACACCGGGAACTATCCACTGATTCCAGGGAAACTGCCGACGATTGATGCCTGGGCCCCACTGGCCCGGAGTGACGGGGGAGAGCGACGGGAGCCCCTGGACGCGGCAGTGCCAACTCGCTAGACCACGACGCTCCAGACCCCAGCCGCCTTGCGCCGCCTTGGCCCTCTGCGTGGAGTCCCCCGCATCGGCGGAGTCCGCGACCCTGTCCAGGAGATTAGCCGCGACCAGCGCTGTCAAGCCGTCGGAGATCTTCTTTGCCAGGTCCGTTCTGAACCACGTGTCCCTCTTATTCCTGAGCCACTGCCTCGCATCCGCCTCCGTGAAAATCTGCCCCTTGGGAGCGCGAGTGAGCAGGAACTGCCGCATCAGCTCGGACGGCATGAGGGCCCTCATCGCTATCTCCGCGACGTCAGGAGCGGCCAGCACGGCCGCCGAAGATCCGCCTGCGCACCTGCCGTCGCCGCCGGAGCGATGGTAGCCCTCGGCAGCGTGGGCGACGTGGAAGCGATACAACCCGAAGTGAAGTTCAATTTGGCGGAGAACCTTGTGGAGCCCCATCGTGATTTCGTTCACACTGGGAAGACAACGTTCGCAAGCAGAATCAAAAGGCGGTTGCGACGCCAGGGCGTCGTCGCCCTGGGCAGCATGCCGGGCGATGAAAAGCCTGGCGAACTGGTTCCCGCGGTGCACCCGGTGCGTTGCGCGAAGCAAGTCGCTGTGAAAGAAATTCAACTTCGTCTTGAATGCCGGCGGCATTGGCACGGTCTGACAGATATCATCAAAAGCCTGCTTCGCAGCACGGTATATGGTGTAGGCGAAGCCGTCGAGCGAGAGAACGCCGGCGACATCAGAACACTGCTCGTGCATCCACCCGTGCAGACGCTCGATGAAGGAGTCGCTCTGTTCGGAATCGACCCCGTCGCCCGCGCACACGTCCTGGAGGGCCCCGCAGGAGCCGCTTCACATAGGAACAACATCGATCCGAAGAGGGCGGGTCTCCCCCAAAACGCCAGGGGAGCCCTCGAGCTCCAAGCCACTCGAGAACAGCCCCGAGAATGGGACACGACCAGGACGGGACCAAAGGAAAAGATTGGGAGGGGCCAGAACCTGTGGGCTCGGGGAGCGAGGCCAAGAGACACGCGGCGGAAAATCGCAACCAAGCTCGGGATGGCGAAATATGATGGGCCCAGGGTTGACCCGCTGTCGTGGAGAACCCACACCGTCTGCATGCGCTTCTGGAACCCGTGCACTTTCGGCATGACGATAAACTCGACGACCTCTGTCTGGCCCGCGCACTTGAGCATGAAATTGTAATTGTCCAAAGACACCTTGCCGTTGCCAGTCGCCGGTCCGTCGTGCTCGCTCTGCGTCCACGTGTTAAGCTTCGCGCAGCTGAGATAGTGCACCCCGGACTCCACGTCGCTGAAGGGCGTCTGGAACGTGTTTGCGGCCTCGTCGCTGGAGATGCCGCACCGGCCGTGTTCTTCAAGCTGCTTCCGAATGCCCTTCGTGTGGTGCAGTCCGTGTTCATGACCAACTTGTCTTTGAAAACAGGGGAGGCCTCCGGGACCTGCGTCAACCACTTGTCCGTGCACTGCATCAAGGCCGACTTCCGCGTGGAGGACGCGCTGCCGATCAAGAGGGGCTGGCCAGGGGAAATGCAATGACCTGACTGCCGCAAGTGCGTCAACTTTGTTCCGGGCGCCTCGATGAAACCCATGTTGCACTCCACGGCAGAGAGCAGCGCCTCCGCAGAGAGACCCCGGGCCTTTGCTGCGGTGTGCACGGCGTCCGCCAACAGCTTCGGCGCGATGGTGCGCAAATCGAAATCCAGCTCGCTGGCAATCTGGCGGTGAGACCGGGTGTCCTCCCACGCCTTCATGACCCTCTGGCGCACTGTCTCGTAAACCTCCTCCTTCGTCTTAAAACCCTCGAAGACGATGTCAGGAAACAGGAACTCTTCGATCGCGTTCGATGCCTCGTCCTCTGGGAGCCCTTCGACTTTGGCCTGCAATGCGGCGACGCTCTCGCCCGTGGGGTCCGGGACGCGAAGACTGGCACTCGCTGCAAAGGAGTCCTCAAACCGCGCACCATTCCTGAAGGAGGTGGACTGTGTGCTCGGCAGAGAGACCTGAGTCGCAGGTGACGCTTGCTCCGCGGGAATGGGCGACTCAGGCGGGGGCTGAGAGTCGGGCTCGGGGCTCTTCCGAGGCGTCGCAGGGGGGCGCAACCCCGCGAGCGAGCCGTCAGCGATTGGGACTGGACCGGCTGGTGAGCTCGAGGGAGGAGGTGGGCTCGGGGCAGCCCCGGCACCACCTCCCCCCGGGGCCGCGGACACGCCGCTCGGCGCGAGCATGAGCACGCCCCGGAAATGCAGGAGGACGAGAAGCGCGTGGAAGTAGCAGTCGCCCCCGTCACGGACGCGCGACTCCAGCGCGAGATCACCACTGCGAGCGGCGACGGCCGCCGCCATGTCGGCCCATTTCGGTGACGAGCACGGGGGCAACAGGCGGTACTCGTCGACATGGAGCAGCGGCAAGAAGTGGCACCCATCCTCCGCGGACCCGTACCCGTTGTCCAGCCCACCATGGACAATGACAGCGTCCTCCTTGGGGTCGGGAACGATGAAATCTGCGTCGCGGAAATGGGCAGCACAGACGGCGATGACTTCAGATGGCAACGGCCGAGAGCCGGGGGCCAAGCGAGTCTGGAGAACAACCTTTATATCACCCCACGCCGAGGAATCGCCCCACACGACAGCACGACGTGCCATGGCAGAAGTGATCTCGGTGAAGCGAAGTGTCTCATCGCCGCGAGCGTCGGCGAGGCACGCCCGTAGAGCGGCGATGCCCTGCTCCTGCGCCAACCCGCACAGGGCGACCTCGCGAAACATTGCGGTGGAGTCCATCTGCAACTTTCGAATCTCCTACCCGACAGGACCCCCAGCGCGCAACTCTCGAACCCAACGCTACCGCGCAGCTGAGTTGAGGCGCACAGCCGCCGCGCGGCACTCGAAGGGGCCACCCCTCTCCACACCAAGCCCCAACGGGCCCTGTCCGCAGCGGGGGGTGTCCCATGGAGCATCTGGCCCCGATTCCCCACGGGAGACCATCCGCCGCAGACAGAGCTCACGGGGAGCCCCCCGACGGACCCTGTCCGCGGCGGGGGGTCTCCAATGGAGAATCTGGCCCCGATTCCCCACGGGAAACCATCCGCCGCGGACGAGGCCCGACACCATGTCAAACGGGACCTCCCAGGGCGGGTTTTCGAAGCCCCGACACCATGCCAAACGGGACCTCCCGGGACCATTACTCCCCAAAACTGCAAAAAAAAACCGTAGAAATCATTAAAATATTGCCAAAATCACAAAAAAAAACACGGAAAATCACTAAAATATACCCAAAATCACCGCCCAGGGGCCGTATACCGCCCGACGGACCCTGTCCGCGGCGGGGGGTCTCCCGTGGAGAATCTGGCCCCGATTCCCCACGGGAGACCATCCGCCGCGGACGGGGCCCGACACCATGCCAAACGGGACCTCCTGGGGCGGGTTTTCGAAGCCCCGACACCATGCCAAACGGGACCTCCCGGGACCATTACTGTCCAAAACTGCAAAAAAACACTAGAAATCATTAAAATATAGCCAAAATCAAAAAAAAAAAAAAAAAAAAAAAACTGAAAATCACTAAAATATACCGGGGAGCGCCCGCAAGCGGGCGACACATTTCACCCCGCCCGCCGGAGGGCGCAACCGCAACCGCAACCGCAACCGCAAGCGCAAAATCATTAAAATATCCCCCAAATCCTAAACCTAAACCTAAACCTAAACCTAAACCTAAACCTGAACCTGAACCTGAACCTGAACCTGAACCTGAACCTGAACCTGAACCTGAAACCTAAACCTAACCTAAACCTAAACCTAAACCTAAACCTAAACCTAAACCTAAACCTGAACCTGAACCTGAACCTGAACCTGAACCTGAACCTGAACCTGAACCTGAACCTGAAAACCTAAACCTGAACCTGAACCTAAACCTAAACCTAACCTAAACCTAAACCTAAACCTGAACCTGAACCTGAACCTAACCTGAACCTAACCTGAACCTGAAAACGCTGAAAATCACTAAAATATTGTCGGGCCTTGGATTTGACATGGTGTCGGGCTCCTTCGAAAACCCGCCCCGGGAGGTCCCGTTTGGCATGGTGTCGGGCCCCGTCCGCGGCGGATGGTCTCTGGTGGGGAATCGGGGCCAGATTCTCCACGGGAGACCCCCCGCCGCGGACAGTGATGGTGTTTTTTTGCAGTTTTGGGTATATTTTGGTGATTTTCAGTGTTTTTTTTTTTTGTGATTTTGGCTATATTTTAATGATTTCTGTGTTTTTTTTGCAGTTTTGGGTAGTAATGGTCCCGGGAGGTCCCGTTTGGCATGGTGTCGGGCCTTGGATTTGACATGGTGTCGGGCCCCTTCGAAAACCCGCCCCGGGAGGTCCCGTTTGGCATGGTGTCGGGCCCCGTCCGCGGCGGATGGTCTCTGGTGGGGAATCGGGGCCAGATTCTCCACGGGAGACCCCCCGCCGCGGACAGTGCTGTGTTTGTTTGCAGTTTTGGGTATATTTTTTTTTTTCAGTGATTTTGTTAATATTTTAATGATTTCTGTGTTTTTTTTGCAGTTTTGGGTAGTAATGGTCCCGGGAGGTCCCGTTTGGCATGGTGTCGGGCCTTGGATTTGACATGGTGTCGGGCCCCTTCGAAAACCCGCCCCGGGAGGTCCCGTTTGGCATGGTGTCGGGCCCCGTCCGCGGCGGATGGTCTCTGGTGGGGAATCGGGGCCAGATTCTCCACGGGAGACCCCCCGCCGCGGACAGTGCTAGTGTTTTTTTGCAGTTTTGGGTATATTTTAGTGATTTTCAGTGTTTTTTTGTGATTGTGGCTATATTTTAATGATTTCTAATGTTTTTTTGCAGTTTTGGGTAGTAATGGTCCCGGGAGGTCCCGTTTGGCATGGTGTCGGGGCTTCGAAAACCCGCCCCGGGAGGTCCCGTTTGGCATGGTGTCGGGCCCCGTCCGCGGCGGATGGTCTCTGGTGGGGAATCGGGGCCAGATTCTCCACGGGAGACCCCCCGCCGCGGACAGTGCTAGTGTTTTTTTGCAGTTTTGGGTATATTTTGGTGATTTTCAGTGTTTTTTGTTGTGATTTTGGTTTTATTTTAATGATTTCTGCTGTTTTTTTGCAGTTTTGGGTAGTAATGGTCCCGGGAGGTCCCGTTTGGCATGGTGTCGGGCCCCGTCCGCGGCGGATGGTCTCTGGTGGGGAATCGGGGCCAGATTCTCCACGGGAGACCCCCCGCCGCGGACAGTGCTAGTGTTTTTTTGCAGTTTTGGGTATATGTTGGTGATTTTCAGTGTTTTTTTGTTGTGATGTTGGCAATATTTCAATGATTTCTACTGTTTTTTTGCAGTTTTGGGTAGTAATGGTCCCGGGAGGTCCCGTTTGGCATGGTGTCGGGCCCCCTGTCCGCGGCGGATGGTCTCTGGTGGGGAATCGGGGCCAGATTCTCCACGGGAGACCCCCCGCCGCGGACAGGGCTAGTGTTTTTTTGCAGTTTTGGGTGTTTTTTTTTGCAGTTTTGGGTAGTAATGGTCCCGGGAGGTCCCGTTTGGCATGGTGTCGGGCCTTGGATTTGGCATGGTGTCGGGCCCCCTGTCCGCGGCGGATGGTCTCTGGTGGAGAATCGGGGCCAGATTCTCCACGGGAGACCCCCCACCGCGGACAGGGCTAGTGTTTTTTTGCAGTTTTGGGTGTTTTTTTGCAGTTTTGGGTAGTAATGGTCTTTTAATGATTTCTAGTTTTTATTTGTAGTTTAGGTTTAGGTTTAGGTTTAGGTTTAGGTTTAGGTTTAGGTTTAGGTTTCGGTTTAGGTTTAGGTTTAGGTTTAGGTTTAGGTTTAGGTTTAGGTTTAGGTTTAGGTTTAGGTTTAGGTTTAGGTTTAGGTTTAGGTTTAGGTTTAGGTTTAGGTTTAGGTTTAGGTTTAGGTTTAGGTTTAGGTTTAGGTTTAGGTTCAGGTTTAGGTTTAGGTTCAGGTTCAGGTTTAGGTTTAGGTTTAGGTTTAGTTTTAGGTTTAGGTTAGGTTTAGGTTTAGGTTTTAGGTTTAGGTTTCGGTTTCGGTTTAGGTTTAGGTTTAGGTTTAGGTTTAGATTAGGGTAGGTGTAGGTTTAGGTTTAGGTTTCGGTTTAGGTTTAGGTTTAGGTTTAGGTTTAGGTTTAGGTTTAGGTTTAGGTTTAGGTTTAGGTTTAGGTTTAGGTTTAGGTTTAGGTTTAGGTTTAGGTTTAGGTTTAGGTTTAGGTTTAGGTTTAGGTTTAGGTTTAGGTTTAGGTTTAGGTTTAGGTTTAGGTTTCGGTTTAGGTTTAGGTTTAGGTTTAGGTTTAGGTTTAGGTTTAGGTTTAGGTTTAGGTTTAGGTTTAGGTTTAGGTTTCGGTTTAGGTTTAGGTTTAGGTTTAGGTTTAGGTTTAGGTTTAGGTTTAGGTTTAGGTTTAGGTTTAGGTTTAGGTTTCCAGTGTTGTTTTAATGATTTTGGGCATATTTTAGTGATTTTCTGTGTTTGTTTTGTGATTTTGGCCATATTTTAATGATTTCTAGTGTTTTTTTTTGCAGTTTTGGGTAGTAATGGTCCCGGCAGGTCCCGTTTGGCATGGTGTCGGGCCTTCGATTTGGCATGGTGTCGGGCCCCCTGTCCGCGGCGGATGGTCTCTGGTGGGGAATCGGGGCCAGATTCTCCACGAGAGACCCCCCGCCGCGGACAGTGATGGTGTTTTTTTTGCAGTTTTGGGTATATTTTGGTGATTTTCAGTGTTTTTTGTTGTGATTTTGGCTTTATTTTAATGATTTCTGGTGTTTTTTTGCAGTTTTGGGTAGTAATGGTCCCGGGAGGTCCCGTTTGGCATGGTGTCGGGCCTTGATTTGGCATGGTGTCGGGCCCCCTGTCCGCGGCGGATGGTCTCTGGTGGGGAATCGGGGCCAGATTCTCCACGAGAGACCCCCCGCCGCGGACAGTGATGGTGTTTTTTTGCAGTTTTGGGTATATTTTGGTGATTTTCAGTGTTTTTTGTTGTGATTTTGGCTTTATTTTAATGATTTCTGGTGTTTTTTTGCAGTTTTGGGTAGTAATGGTCCCGGGAGGTCCCGTTTGGCATGGTGTCGGGCCCCGTCCGCGGCGGATGGTCTCTGGTGGGGAATCGGGGCCAGATTCTCCACGAGAGACCCCCCGCCGCGGACAGTGATGGTGTTTTTTTGCAGTTTTGGGTATATTTTGGTGATTTTCAGTGTTTTTTGTTGTGATTTTGGCTTTATTTTAATGATTTCTGGTGTTTTTTTGCAGTTTTGGGTAGTAATGGTCCCGGGAGGTCCCGTTTGGCATGGTGTCGGGCCTTGGATTTGACATGGTGTCGAACCCCTTCGAAAACCCGCCCCGGGAGGTCCTGTTTGGCATGGTGTCGGGCCCCGTCCGCGACGGATCCATTGACAGATCCATTGACAGATCCATGGACAGATCCGTTGACAGCGCCGTTGACGGATCTGTTGACAGCACTGATGACAAGCGTGTTGACAGCGCCGGTGGCAGCGCTGTTGACAAATCCGTTGACAGCACTATTGACAGACGTACGGACAGTGCCATTGACAGCGCCGTTGACAGCGCCGTTGACAGATCCGTTGACAGGCCCATTGATAAGCTTGTTGACAGCGCTGGTGACAGGCCCGTTGACAAGCTTGTTGACAGTGCCGTGGGCAGGCCTGACGACTGCGCGAGTGTCAGACCTGGTGACAGCGCTATTCCGAGCTCCGTTAACACCACCGCTGGCAAGCGTATGGACAGCGTCATTGACAGCGCCGTTGACGGCGCCGTTGACAG